TTTATCCCATCCATAGTTCCATTGTTTATGATATTGCACATTGCTTATGATATTGCACATTGCATGCTTAAGATATACATATAGTAAAGGGCCACTACTAAAGCTTGCTGACATAGTTTCCATGCCCCGCATGGTCTGGTCTTATYGCCAACCAGACCGATATAGTTACCAAAAAGTAATTTATGCACCCCCCGTCGCACAATGTGCGGATGAGGTGGGATTGTCAATCCTATAGCGCTATCCATAAATACTACCGACTCATAACCCGTGAGTTAATATAGTAGTGTTACATGTACGAGGACTTTTATAAATAAACAACCCATTCATCTATATATCCAAAACATGCATATCATAGCAAAATATAGTTCTCACAAAATAATCGTCGCAGCGATTATATAGTTTCCAAAAATAGGTTTCCAAAAATAGGTTTCCAACTACATATAGTTCCAACAGAATAATAAATTCGGCATAAAGGTAGTTCCAACGAAATAAAGTTTCCAACATATATCAACCGATAAATTTAAAGTGTTTTAGTCATGCTTTTCACCCCAAAAATGCTAAAAAACGTTAAAAATGGGCAGTAACTCACCGAGTTTACGAGTTCGAGAATTCTCGAGTTGGCAAGGTGTCACCGCTTCCTGATCCTAGTCAAACGAAGTATTTTAATGAGTCYCTTATTTGATCACATTTTTAAGGTTCAACAAGATTTTATCTTGCATGTGAGAGATTTTTAGCGATATTGTAGATTTATTGCAAAACAAGGATTTTCGGTATTGAAATCACGTTTGGGGGTTGGTAAGATGGTCATGCATTTGGGTCCTTTATTCAACTCCAAAAATTATGAAATTTTGATATGTTTTAGCACAATGAGTCTAGTACCTAYTGTCCAGATTTCAAGATTTTTAGAAAAGTACAAGTCCTTCAAACAGTAGAATTTTTAAAGTCTCGACAGTACGTTGAGCTGTTGTGCAACCTTTTTGTACAGACTGTTTGGGGGTTTCAAACTTGGAATTTTTAAGAACGGCCAGTGGGGTTTGAAAGCCAACTCAATGAAATTGATTTAAAAAAAGAATCATGTTATTTGGACATCTTATGAGTAAGATATGCCTCCCCAAAGTCAAGATCAGATTCTGCCAAAAGCCGATGGCCGATTTTTGCATGTGTATTGAGTTTATCAAAAGTTATTCTTTTGTACAAAATATGGAGAAGATCAAGAATGGATGCAGGATTAAGAGAATGCAATGTAGGTTAAACCTTACATATTGCATAAGATGATCAAAACTCTAAAAATGCAAGAATTAATGACATGCAGTGAGGGAAAAACCACTCTTATTGCATTTTGATGAGTAAAAATTTATATCATCTTACAATGAGGGTAGTTCCATTCTAATATGTAAGATGATACAACAATTATTTTAAAGAAAATCCCAACTTTGGTTGGTCGTAGATGGTTTCCGTAGCATAAATGCATGGTTGATGCATCTACCAACGTTAGGAGAAGAAGATAGTTTGAAAAAGAGTTTTAGATGAAGAACATAAACAAAATTTACCTTAGTGATCTTGAAATATTGATGAACTCTTGAATGTAAAAAGGAATTGTAGAGAGAAGTAGGAGGATTTCTAGAGAGAGGTTAGAGAGTTTGAGAGAAAACGTTGTAGAGAGAGAGAGAGTGAAATGAGAGAATGAGTTGATGGAGTGAGTGGAGAGTGTTATTTAATGAAAGAAATGAAGAGAGGGTAGGGAGAGAGAGGGAGATGGCTGGATTTTTGAGGTAGTGGAGTGATGGTGTGTGTAAGAGAGAAGAGAGTTGTATTGGTTAAGTAGGATTTTGTTGTCTTTTATATTTAAATTTAATCCATCTTCTAGAAGACTTCCACTAATTAAAAAAAATCTGAATTTCTACAATACTTATTTAAGATTATGATAAATGTTATCATAATTATATAACAGAATGGCTAAAAT